GAGTTTTTTTTTACCACTATTTATATAGTTTTATTTTTATTGCAAATATATATGTACATATGTATGTATAGTTGTCAAAAAAAATATACGTCCCTAGTTATATATTCAAAAACTATTAAAAAAAAAACTCGAAAAAGTTCAAAAAAATTCAAAATTCATTTTTAATTGTTGTTTTTGCAATTTATTTATAAAAAAAATGCTAAAAAATAAATGCATTTTATTATATTGAAAAAAAAAAACAAAAAACTTTCTTTTGAAATTATCAACGAAATGTGTGGCTGGTAATATGAATAAAAAAACAATAAATAATAATAATTTTATTTTGATTTTATTTCTCACTAAACTTAAGCTCCACATTAGCCTAAAATTGTGAAATAAAATAGTTATTAACAGATCAAAACAAAAAAAACATAAATGTTAAATTATTTTTAGTGCTTCATTACAGCATGTTAGTACCTCGTTGAGCATTTGAAATCTATGGCAAAGAATAGATGGAATTTGAAGGTACAAAAGCAGTTTATTTTTAATATATCGAATAATCATTGGTGTAGTTCTATTAATACAATAAGTTAGTTATTCACTAAGTAAAAAAAAAAACAATAAATAAAGTTCATTTAAAGCGTTTTCGTCTAATAAATCTGGATTCTATCCATATTTATTCTCGATTTGTCGAGAATTTTGTTGCACAATCTAAGATTTTTAGAGCAATCTAACTTTTTGTAGTAGTGTTATTACAAATTTATATATCTCATAATATGTATAATAATATCTAATCAAATAACACTTTATCTGTCATGATATGAGAAATAGCTATTAATATCAGAATAATGTTGCTACTTGCTACTCTTCAGATCTAATATTTGAAAATAAAAATTGCACTAAAAGTATATTAAAAGTGCATCTCGTTTAAAGATATTATTCCTGATTCACCAATCGAAAAGGCAATTAGTCTCTATTGAAGTTCTTAAGCTTTTTACCCTATATGTGTTATATTAATTATAAATATTGTACTTTATTTTCTAAAGAGTATAAAGATGACGGATAAAAATATTGCAATCGTTGCCACTATCACTTAACCCGAAGATTCTGATCAACTTTTAACAACATCACAATGGATAAAATGGCAACATTCGTCGTAAAATCTAAATAATTCTTTAAATAAGAAAGTCTCATCCATTATTGACAAACAACACCACATAATATATTTATCTTTAGGTTACAATATGGATCGGTTAACAACCGCTGAACATGTGGAAACCGATAAATCTTGTCGCTACAGCAATATGATTATTTAATTTTTGTTTTACAGTATGTCTCATTTTTGCTTGTTTAATTTTACGTTTTAATAAAGTGAATTACTACTAAGATCTTTCGATGTGTTAACACTAGAGTTTTTTGTGAGGTAACACAAATGATCGCATTAAGTAGTCACCCGTTAAACATTACGTTCCGGTGGGACATAATGTCAGCAATGTACCAAGCCTCCGCATATTATTTAAAAAGGATCTACTAATATATATTATTCGGGAAATATTTAAATGATGCTATCTTTCATATCTAATTTCATGGTTTCTTGTGCTTGATTGCTCTGCTTTGTGTCTAGAAGTGGCCTAGTGCCTTAAAAGTTACTTTGCAGGAGATGTTTTCCTCTTTTATATGTTATTTTCTCTTAATTATTTTATTTAAAGTTAGACCTGTATACTTAACTTTGTCTTATCTATTTATAGGTTCCTCATTCACCACCCATTCTACTTGGGGCCTGATTCATTATTCTAATAATGAAGATAGCCTTTATCTACTCCGTATTCAATTTGAGTTCTTACTAGCTGAAATTTGTGGTTATATTAATTATGTGTTCCTATAGATTCAAATCAATACAGTATTCTTCATTACAAGCATTATGTAGATATCCTTTGCATAAAGCAATAGGATATTTACAGTTCCTTAGAGATATCAATTATGAAATCTTTAAGCTGCACAAAATAGGGAAGGCGAAGATCCTTGAGGAGCTTTTATCTCAATTTTTATTATTTATTTTATTTAAATAGTTCTCGATCTTCACTCTAAAAAAATATTTAAGGACTTTTATATTGTATTAGATTGCATGAAACTTTCAAGTGTAGAAATCGCCTTACAAGTTTATTTGGAATCATCTATCTTCACTCTAAATTCTCTTCTTTTAGATCATTTCCTTTGAGGCCTTCAAATGTCAAATATGCATTACAAGTTCATGTTTGTCAGAATACTATATGCTTATGAACTTGTACGTTCTGTGGCTTTCTTGAATACTTTCTAATTGAATGAACTCCTAATTCATCTTTGGTAGGAATTTTCCTTCTGTAATCGCAGTTAATCTATGATCTCTTGTATAAGCATGCTCAATTTTTTATGGGTTGCAAACTACCGCGAATAAAAAAAGTGATACAGGATAGCTAATTTTACTGAAACCCATCGCTACGTAGGTGTGTCATAAGTTTGACCAAATTTTAAATAATAACTAATATTAACATAATTGAAATTTTGATTTACTTTTTAATGTTTCATTAATGTTATATCCAAACCTCCCGATATGCTAAGTATTTATTGGGTCTAACATATTATTACTATATGCTACAATCACTGAAGTCATATAACAATTTTCAAAGATTTCACTGTTTAGACCGGTGTACGCATAGGTTGTATTTCAGCGTTTTCATTGTTTAGTCTTGTACTAGATGCAGATCATCATCAGACGGTCAACATGGTATCCAATGGACATCATTTACTCGACTCTTGACAATTGGAATATGCTGATAATTTGTGTTTAATGTGCTATAATTACCCTAGCCTACAGGGAAGGGTGGAAAACCAGCATAGGGATCCTATCCTAAAGTATTCCCGATAAAGTTCCAAGATAGAAACGGTCTGGTAGAGGGGGGATTGTTTTTAGCCCGTGCAAACCGGTCGTACCACTATTGTGGCGACATTTTGACGATGCATTAGGTATTTTTAAACCTCCTCTCCACAAAAATAAAACAAAGAAACAACAGGTTAGCATAAATTTATTGTAGGTCAATTGTTTCTGAGGTAATATGTTCGATTACCATGCGAAAAAGTAGAATGCATATAATCAATAACATATTATTATTGAATCAATAAGGCCAGAGGTGCAACTTAAAAGGACATGGAATTGTGGCCTATATCCCCCACTAGAAAAACCCTGCATTTTCGATATCAACATAAGGGTAGTTCTAGTGAAAAATGGAAGTGCACGACTACAGTCTCATTCAATTTTTAGATACATATTAATCAATATCTAAAGATATTGATAAAGATATTGGAAATATGTATAGATATATATCTATATACATATATAGAAAGAGAGAATATTTAGATTTGTACTAACCAATAATAACAAAGAACCTTGTGTATCCTGTGGCCACAGAGTATATCCAATATTTGTCGGTGTGCTTGAGCAGTCCAAGCTACAGCAAAAGAAGAAACCACGTATATGGAGTTGGATAAGGTACACTCTGAGAAGAAATATCAACATTGCTCGACAGCCACTACAGAGGAATTGACAACGTTCTAGGTGACCCTGTCGATGACTATGACTTAGAAGAGAATAGTAGAATGCTTAATGAAGTGTTTATAAAACAACTAAGTTACCTATTTGCGTCATAAAAATTGATTTCAATGCATAATTGAGGCTCTATGCTTCACATAGAAAGTAGCAGATAATAGGCGATACTATACATCGGCCATGACTTGGAGGAATGCAAATTATGTATGGAACGACATCATTACCTTTTCATAAAATAAAGTTCAATTTAAATCGATGACAAAGGCTCTATGCTCTACTTAGAACTTCATCTCTACTGAGGTGGAATCTAAAAGGTAATAGGCAAACCTGTGCGCTAGCCATGAATTGGAGGAGAACGTAGAATACATTCGATTATAATTTTAAACAAATGCTCTTTGTGGCACTTATAGAGAAACACATATATGCATATATCATCAATTCGAATAAAAACAGAATATTCGTACACTTACGAGTAATAATTAATTTTATTTAAATCACTTTAAATTAATTAATATAGCAATGTAATGATTTTTTTTTTTAATTACAATTAAATACCTTAGGCTTTAATAAAATTACATATTCTAATGTTTTTTACATATTTTTTTTTATAATTATTTTATGGATATTTAATACTTAAAACTCTTATAATTTTTTTTTCTGATTTATGTTTGTCATTTCACACACAAATATAAATTGAAATATTGACGAATTTTTGCGTTTTTTTAAATTTGCATTTCTTTGCAAATTTAAATTTATATTTATATTTTAATTTAATATTTTCAAAGCTTACATACAGAATTCTTTTATTTGTATATATTTATTTTCTTTTAAAATTTTATATATCTTAAGCCGTACAAAAAATTAACAATTGCCAAAATAATTTTATTTATTTTATTTATTTTTTTCAAATTTATTTCGTATACATTTTAAATTATTACATTTATTTCAATTTTTTAAAAATTTTTTTTCATAGTTTTTTAAAATTACTTTTTAAAATATATTTTTTTTTATATGAATTAAGCTAAACTATATTCATTAAAAAGTTCAGTTTTTATTTATATATATTTAATTATTTTTTTTTTTTTGCCATCGTATATTTCCATCAAATGTTTTCGTATACATTGTTTACTTGTTATAGTCTTTCATTGCATATTATTTAATAATTTTTTATTTTTCATAAAATGTAAATATGTAAATATTCTTCTAGTGGCTTCACCATAATTACAGAATTATATACAAAATTAAAATTATGACGTTTACATAGAAATAACAAATTAAACAATAAAAACCTATAGCGAATTTATGTAGGAAAAATAATATTTAAGTCTTAAGCATAAAATATTTTGCTTATTTATTTTATATAATACACATATTCAGGAATAAACTTTTGTTGTTTTTTTTTCTTACATATTTTGTATAATTTATTGTACATACTCTCTACATTTATAATATTTCGTTTATATATTGAATATATTTTAAACTAATTAGCACATTTTACTACAGTTCTTAAGTACCTGGAAAGGTGTATTGCATTCTCCACCACGAAAGGTGAAATGCAATTGCTATTCAACTTTCATTATTACATTAACAGTGCTTAATAAACTGTTCACTTTGTTTGCTTTCTTTACTTTAATCATTTCTAAACTGTTTTACATTAGCTAAGTTCTGACTCTATTTCAATTTTATACCATTTTTACACACGCACCTAATAATCGTGGTGATTATTGTTTCCTGAAAATCCATAATCCGAAAAGCTTTCAAAGCTTTTCAACAAATTTCAGTAGACCGAATTATGATGTTCGTAATTATTGTGTGCGGCGGCATGGTGTAAATATGAGGGTAAGCTTGTTGCATTTAGTTCTGAAGCTCGCCGCCTTAGCGCTGCTATGCTATGTCCACGCCAAACATCTTCTTCGGCGGCTACGCTACCGCCATCTGATGGCGATTGCATAGACTGATGACAGTGCGGTATTAAATGATGTGAATTTGTGCCATTTCCATTTGCATTATTTGCACCTTCGTGATGTTGTTGCTGTTGCTGTGGTGGTTGCTGTTGATGGTGAGTTTGTTGTTGGTGATTTTGTTGGTGGGTTTGTTGCTGTTGTTGTGCTGCTTGTTGTTGCTAGAAGGTAAAAGAAATGTGTTGAATAATAAAATTTTATATGGAGAAATCATATTAAATTTCTAATTTAAGCATTTTTAAATGAAAATTTGAATACATATAAATAAAAATTTAATATTTATGAATGGAAATTTGAAAAATTTAAATATGTATAAATCAAATTTTTATATATATAATAATTATTTAAATACATACAGTCAAACTTCTATAACTGGAGACTTTCAGTTAAAGAATTTTGTAATTGTATGCAATTTGCTCTCTAAACCCTGTTGCACTCTATTTAGTTTCAGTAATGGAAAATTCGAGTTATAAAATTTCGAGTTATGGAAGTTTGACTGTATCAACAAATATTTAAATATATTTAAACCAAAATTTAAATACATATAAATACAAAATTAAATATATACAAATAAAAATTTGTAAGGAAAAAGAAAAATCTCATGACATTTATATATCTGACAAAATGTTTAACATAACTCCCAAAGACCTGTTATGAAATTCTCTGAGAGCAACATATATGCTTTCAATACAAAAATTTAATACAAGACCTAAACGACAAGACGTATACTTGCACGTTATATGAATTTTTCTTTAAGCATAGGTCTATTATACATCAAGAGTCGATAATCAGTCCATTTAATTTCTAAAACCGGCATGGATGTAACAACACACACCTGCAAAACATAATACCCTTGCATCCCAGTAGAAAACGGATCGATCCGTCATCGAAGACGTCTTCAAGACATGGATACATACATGAAGACCGATCGATCCAAATGTATGACGGTCTTCGAAGACATTTTCATACAAATTAGCCAAATGTCTTCAATGAATTTTTGTGTACATGTCTCGAAGACCGTCTCGAAGACCATGTCTTGCATAACGGACGCATTCGACAGAAAGTTGTGCGCTCTTAGTGCAGTGCTCATATAATTTTTTCACCCTTTTTTTTATTTCTACTCTTTTATTGCACTCTTTAAATTTTAAATGAATTTCAACTTTCTCTTTAAGTAAGTAGAAAGAAATTGTTGTATTTTGTACTTTTATTTATTTTATATAATAATTTCTTACATTACCTTCAAAATTAAAAGTTTTAAAAGTAAATTATAAAATTTATTATAAATTATTATAAATTTTATTAAGATATTAAAAATAAACTAGTAAAAACTAGTAAACATAGTGAAAATTAATTTAAATAATTAACTTAATATAACTTAACATATCTAAAATTAACTAAAACTAATATAAAATAATTTATAGCATTTCGCTATCATCAATTGTTGAAGTTTTATATGTTTTCAAAAGCGTTGAAAAGGATTTTGGTACAATTAAACCTTCTGATCTTAAGAGTTCTAAAATATCATTACCACAGCGCCTGTTAATCCTGTGTTTTTTAAATATAACAGCTAATTTTTCACAAGTGTTTTTAGTTTTTTTATTTTCAACATCCTTTGTTTCGTTTCTTAAACAACTTTCACTGGAATATCAATATATTTTCCAGGAACTAAGTCACTATTTAATTTCATTTAATTTCTTTTTTTAATATTTAGTAGTTTAATGATTTTGTTTCTTTATTCATTTTGATTTTTTTAATATTTATTTCACAAATGTTTATTTACTACACTTCAAAATTATTGCGTCACTTCATTTATAAAACATAGCGTCATCTGAGGCAAAATTCAAGTACGTTGCTATGAACACTAAAAATGAGAGAAAAAGCAAAGAAAGAGTATTTACATTCATGTTTTGAGCAATTGTTTTGCAAATTTGTTTGAAAATGCGGACGCGGTATCAAAGACCGTCTTGAAGACAATGTCTTCGAAGACCACTTTTTCTACTGGGATATATTCCACAAAGCAAACTAAACAATTGTAAATAAACATAAAAAATATTTATATATGTATATGTAAATATTTATATGTAAAACCCCAGTTATTAATGCCCAATGATTGGCAGATACCACATTATTCAAATCTCTCTGATAAATTTTAAGTTTAGAAGAAAGTATAGGTGTCTTTGCTTAATATCGATAAATTCATTCGAAAAGCAATTTAAAAAGAATTGTCACATTTTTGACCAGATGTCGAGAATATTTGGTTGTCATTACAGTAGTAACTATAACTAATTACAACTATATATTATTTCAATAATGATAGCGAACGTGGCACAAGGACTTTTTTAAATGAAAAATAAGAAATAGTATGGTGTGTTGCAAAGAACTCTGCAGAGCCCAACGATGAGATCTACAAAAATGGGCTTGCGGCTTGTCCATAACTTCGGAGCACTATCTTTAAAATGTCCCTTCAGGAATACCTATCGTTTACAGGTTATCCAATTTTAGGTTCTATATAAAGTATTTTAATTATAAATGACAGATATTTAAAAAATTACTATGAGAACAATTGTAATGTTAACTATATATTACTAACAGTATGGATTTTTAAGACATTGGAAAAAAAAATTAGCTAATAAGTTTTGAATTAGAAATGATCCGAGTATCTAAGTTTTTCGATTATGTATCTGTCCTTTCGTTGGAGGACAGAATATTGTGTGGCGAGATAGTCAGCCATTTTGTTGTCTTGTATTCTTCACATCCCTTACATCCCAGGAGTGGATTTCATTTGCTTAGCTACATTTTTGAAATTTCTATCTACTGTTGCCAGCGATTGTAACTTAGTTGTGTCTTAGGCATTACGTTTGATGAAATCAAGTTGAAGTATATCCCAGACTTTGTGTTTTTGATACATGTATTAGCTTGAAGCTAGCTATAATCTGTCTAGTGATATCATACGAAATAATTATTGGATTTCACTGACAGCTACTGCTTTTTGCTTGAACACAACTCAAGAAGAAACCCTTCTTTGGTTTGTAGTTTATATAAACTTTCGGTCCGAAGATTTTTTTTTTTTTTTTTTTTTTGGAAATCCATTTATTTATTACAATCTGTCAGGAATGAATGACAATAAGTAATATATATAAATTTAAATCGTAATAATGGTTATTACGATATAAAAAGAAAGGCACGTATGGACTATGCCCAGTGACATATCCATATATATTTAAAATAAAAGGGTATTGTCTACATATACATATTTAAAATGTCTCGCGATGTTTTTCTTCTCAGCCTTGTAAAGGTATTGGAAGGGGACATCAGTTGAGTAACCAGAGGGTTTGGGTGCATATATAAGCGTTGAGCGTAATTCTTTAAAATACTTGCTATTTCTTCCTTGATTGTTCGAACATGTAATTGTTTATGTAGCTGTTCATTCGTTATATACCAAGGTGCGTTTGTGATCATTCGAAGTGTTTTAGATTGGAAGCGCTGTATAATTGCCAGGTTTGAGTCTGCTGCTGTACCCCATAATTGGGCCCCATAACTCCATATAGGTTTAAGTACAGATTTGTATATAAGCAGCTTATTGTCGAGTGACAGTTTGGAATTTCGGCTGAGGAACCAAAATAAGTTTCGTAATTTAAGACCCAAGGCTTTACGCTTTTTGAATATGTGCGATTTCCAGGTTAGCTTACTATCCAGATGTATGCCCAAGTATTTTGTTTCTACAGCTTGTGGTAATTGAGTATTGTTAATTAAGACCGGCGGGCACGTAGAACGTTTTGTAGTGAATGTTACCTGGACAGATTTTGATTCATTCGGTTTAATACGCCAGTTTATCATCCAGAGAGCAACATTATCAAGGCAGGTTTGAAGTTTGGTGGAAGCACGGATTGGGTCACTGTCAACTGATAAAATAGCTGTGTCGTCTGCAAATGTACCGATAACACTCTCATCGGTAAGGGGAAGATCCGCAGTAAATAAAAGATAAAGCATTGGTCCCATTATGCTACCTTGAGGTACTCCTGCTTCTATATCATGAAGTACTGTAGTTTCATTTCCATGCTTAATGAAAAAGTGCCTAGCCGAGAGGTATGATTTTATAAATATGAAAAAATTTAGAGGTAGATACAGTTTTAGTTTGAACAGGAGGCCCTCATGCCATACTCGATCAAAAGCTTGTGAAATATCTATAAATGCCGCAGTGCAATATTTTTTACCATCTATCGCACTATGGATATGTCTGACAAGTCTATGAATTTGTTCTATTGTGCTATGTTTTTGGCGAAAGCCGAATTGATGGTCAGGTATGAGTCTGTTTTGTATCCTGTTTCTAAAGCGCCGGAGTAAGGCGCTTTAGAAACAGGATTTCCATAACTTTTGACAGGATCGGAAGTAGACTTATTGGCCGATATGATTTGACGTCTTCTGGGCTTTTCCCTGGTTTCGGTATCATAGAGATTTGTGCTATCTTCCACTGTGGCGGAATAAACCCCCTTATTATCACAGCGTTAAATAGATGAGTGAGAAATACAAATCCTTTTGGTTGGAGCTGCTGCAAGGCCATGCCTGTGATTAAATCGTATCCTGGAGCTTTTTTTACTTTTAACTTTGTTATTACATCTCTAACTTCATTAATAGTATATCTTTTAATTGGAAGTTCCAATTGATAAGGCTCTTGTAGAAAATTAATCCTTTGATTCATGACATTAGGCATATTTTGGTTATCATTTGATTTAAAGACCTGGTCCAAATGTAACGCAAATGTTTCTGCTTTTTCAATATCGCTTTTTGCCCATGAGTTGTCGATTTTGCGTATAGGTGGTTGATAGACAATCGGTCTGTTGTTCTTTTTTATGGCTTTCCAAAGGGAATATTTTGTATCACATGAAGCACTTAGGTTTTGAAGATAGCAGCAGTAAAAGTACTATTATTTAATTGCTTAATTTGATATCAATTTCTCTAAACAATTTAATTAAGTCAATTAATTTATATATTTCAAAATATTTTATATTTTCATAATGCTTTTAAAAAGCGTTTTAGTGCTACTCTAATGCATGAGCGATGGATACCAAAAATAGCAATAGCAACATAATCTCTTCTTTAAGATTAACCTTTTGTTTACTTATATTAATTCAGTAAATTAAAATTTGTGGTTGAAAAAATTCAACAAGGCTAAAACTATTTTAATCCTAAACCATAGAATGTACTGAAGAAAATATCCTATCAGTTTATTTGTCAAATAAAATAATATTTACAAAGGACACATGTTTGATACAAGTATATAATATGTTTTCTCATACTTTTTTAATAAGTTTTTCATAAAGCTATATCTATTTGTTTTGTTTTGAAATGTGATTTGTATTATCTTATAACGGATCATCTATTCGTTGTGTTGATAGCACTGTTTTAGTAAAATATGTTAAATAGAACTGTCACATAAGACATAGTTTGTTTGGTTCCAAAAACGGTCGGGTCTATGTCCCCGAGCCACAAATCGAAGACGACCAAGTGCCGTTCAACATCCCACAAAGAGATCACACAAGCAGATCCCAGCGGGTTACCACAACAACAACATAGTTTGTTTAATTTAAGGTTTGCCATCTTACAATGTCCATCGTATAGCATACGCTAAACGTACTAAAGTAGGAAAACTTATAGAAATAGTGGCGATTTTTGGCATCAGATTTTATTCAGTGGTAATGCTCAATTTTCCCTTTGGGTATATATTAACGAATAAAATTTAGTATAGAGGTTTAGAAACTAATATTAGTTTTTATTAAAATAAAATGGTTACTTCCGTCATAATTGACATTAAATTACAACTTATATTAACGAATAAAATTGATATTTTTGGGGAAGTGAAAATTCACAAGTAACTATCGATAGATATATGGTGTAGCAACTGTGATAGATATTATCAATTCTGATTGCTCTATAGACTTAAGTATCAATGATTTCTTGGTAAACTTTTATTAATAGTGCCAAATAACAGCATCAAGTCAGAATCATATCTGCTAAACAACGAATCATATTGATATTTACTCATGGTTTCAAATACTGACGAAAGTTGTTTGTGTAATTTCTTAGTGCTTGTCAATGAGTTTTGCTTTGTACATTGCTTAACAGAGTTCTATACTACTTGTCTACACATATTGATTGCAAAAATTAAATAATTTATACATAATTATTGTAATTATTTACAATAATTAAATAATAATTTAAATTAAATTCTTACCATTTGATCGCTATTTAGTTCACTTTGACTAGGTTGATTGGAGAGCGGTGGCGTTACGGATGAGCATGAGTTTATATTTGGCGGTGTGGTTGCTGTGGGTGATCCACCAGCTCCACAACCAACACCACCTACCGTGTGTTGATACATCATAGAATCACCTAAACCAAAAAAAAAGAAAAAAGAAAAAAGAGAAAAAAAATTATTCTTTAGTACAAAAATTTTTAATATTTGCTCGCTTGTCCAGAAAGACGACACGAAATTTCAATAAAAAATTATAACAATAAATTTAACGTGAACTTGTCTCCAAAATAACAATTAGCACATCTGCACGAAAACAAACAGTCGACGTTTTTGTCGAAAATAAGTTGCAGATACAAATAAAGATACAGATACAGATATAGATACAGCTACAGATACATAAGCCGACTGAAAACAATTCCTTGATACTGTTTCAGATTTTTCTTCGGCGGGCATGAAGCAGGGATGTTAATTGCTATCACAAACACTAAATGGTGTTGCTACCATTTTCTTCTTGTCATTTGTATTTCAAAAAAAAAAAAAAATAAAAAAATAAATAAATTTGAAATTTAAATCGTGTTTAATAAATTCTCAAAAAATCGTTGACGAAAATTTCTAAAAGTGCAAAGTTGTCATTTGGTTTTATCTTTTATTTTTTTTGTTGAATTTTATTTTTTATTAATTGTTATCATTTTTATATTGTCGTAATTTTTTTATAGTAAAATTCCATAAAATGTGGTCATGTGATTAAAATAAAATTAACAATAAAATCAGTAGCAAAATAGCCATGATTTTTTTTTATGATTTCACAAAGGAAGCTAAAACTTAAAAACATATTAAGTAAAAATATATAATTAAAAAAAAAAAATAAAAAAAATGAAGTAAATTAGTAGACATACCCAAAGCATTAAGTCCATAATGTTGATAACTGCCAGCACCCATTGCAGAACCTATATTAATACCAGAATTTAGACCACTATTCAAAGTAGATGAAAGCGGCGAAGATTGATTTAGTTGACCGAAACCTTATAAGAAAAATTAGTTTTTGATAGTAAAGTAAGATCTTGAGATATTGTTAGTTAGAAAGATGAAGAGATGAATGATATTAATTAGAGATTAATAATGAAATTATATTAATTGCATATATAATATGAAAAAAGAGTACATTTCTAGTTAGATTTAATGAAAATTAATAGGAAAATTTTATAAAAAAATTTAAATTTTAAGTTTGAATTAAAATAAAAATATGTATTTCATATAATAGTATCTATAGAATGTCTAATTCTAGGTTATATATAAATTAATGATCAAACAGAATAGTGTAGAACCAAGAAAAATCAATAGAACCAAACAAAAAGCTGTAGAATCAAGAAAAGTCAATATGGCTAAATAAAAAATCGGTAAAGTAATCTCAGCATCGAGAGATATTCATTTAAAAATACCGGCCATGAAATTTTTCAATTCTTAATCATTAGAAAAAAAAATATTTTTGTCAACCAATACATGATAAAAATGATTATGATGATGTTTTTCTGTCCTGTTAGGCGAAGCATAAACCCACTGCTATATATAAAAATCTGATAGCTAGATGTAGTTAGAAGCATTTAGTGTTAATTTATAACGGTACATTATTTTGTAACTAGAGTTCTATGCCTATGTCTCAAATCTGGACAGATGCTTTGGTTCCACCAGATTCGACCACCAGACTAACATAATGTTGTTGACAAGATTTCCATATCCCAGGTATGACATTAGATTATGATAAAGACAGTAGGTGGATTAAATCAGCAAAAAACAATATACCTATAATATATATATATATGCATGAAAACTAATAACAATAAGTGGAGAAGCCATTGGGCTATATAATATATAGTATGGGCTATATACTGGTTGTTACTCTTTATTTGTCTTTTCTTGTTGAGTTTTCATGCTAGAGTTATATACTTTTAATCTTTTATGGAGCTGACTAACTATCTCGTCATTATTAACGTACCAAAACGTACTATGTACTAGAGTACTAGAGTTGCCTTTAAATGGCTTGTGTAGTTTATGTGAACATAATCAATGTATGGATGTATAAGATCCAACCTAGATATCTTAAGAAGGATATCACATCATTATAAAATGTATGAGAAAATGTTGCTCAAAATACCTGACACTACCAATATTTCTAAGAGTATGCTAAATCTGATATCAGGTCTCTTTTCGAATTTAAATTCTTTAAAATTAATTTAAATTTTACGATTTGCGAGCTTTAAATTTACGAGTTGAAACCTACAGTTTGGTATTGGATATGCTCTGATGTCACCAAATATATGAGGTTTGTCATGATAAAAATTATGACGTGGCTTGTAATAGTATTATTCCAAATTTCGCTAATATAAAATAGAACGGGTTTGATGTTTGTATTGAATAGGCGTAGGTTAATATCAGTCATACTGCATAAAAGATCTTCCCGGTCGCAGTGCATTCACAGCCTATCCCTAATAATAATTAGATCAGTCGTTGAACTTTATAACTTTAAGTTCAATAAAAGCATTTTTAGACTTGTTCATACCGGAAGTGACTTGTTACTCTGCTTTTACTTTATTTGCTATTATGCTTCCATGAACAAATTCCAAAGTTTTTGATTAAATGAAAACGAGAAGACCGGCCTCATAAGTGTTTCTCGTGTTCTTCAATTTTATTCTACCGATATCTATGGCAACTTGTAGGTTATTTATATACAAAGATTTTAGCTTATTCTAGAAGCAAAGTACCCCATATCCATTGATTATGATGTCACTCATTCTCTAATTATTGCAACTTTTAGTACAGATCCGATGAAGGATCTTAAAGCGATAAATCTTTATTTTTAACTACTTTCCAATTTTTTTTCCCAATTTTAATCTTAATAGTCTCTATTAATAGAATTCTCAATAGAACTATTAAACTCTTAATAGTTTATAAACAGTGTCTTTAGGGTACTTTTGACGCAAACAACTTCATATCCTCTGTTCATGATCTTACTCATTTCTATATTATTTTCTAATCAAGTTTCTAAGAAGTTTACGTTCTGCGAATTTTTAATACTCTATTGGCTAACATCATTAATATAATCCAAATCTCTTTGATGGGTAAATAGCGTTAATTGGATATTATTTTGGTCAGCTTATGATAATTTTATTATATCATTTATTATATCATTTTATTATATCATTTAATAAACAGAAGACGTATCCAAATATGCTATAATAAAATAGCATTGTATACATCCGATATGCCAATAAATGATGCGGAATGTTGTCGAGCATATTTGACACGATATTCATTCGAAGTTGTCTAGTTTTTTGATCCGTCAAAAGCTATGTTCCTCTTTTTAAAACTATCAACTCTATTTTAAAATAGTGATAGTTACAATTCTTAAAAAGCGAAACTAATTAAAAAATTCAAATAAAATTCCAAAATTTGATGCCGTCATATTCAAAGGAAACTCTCTCAATGTTGATCTCACCTTTATATTTTTTAATAATTGATTTTTAATAATAAAAGTAATTAGAATTACTAATTCAAAGCATTTAATTTTATAACAGTTAATATTTATTTACGATAGTTTTACTTATTATTTACTCACATATAACTATGTATTTAAACAAACTACACATATTCCTACTTTATGATTACAACCCCCTACTGTTATTGTTAGTAATTTTGAAGCTCACAAATTATTAATTCTTAATTTACCTGCAGTCATTGGATTCACACCGACACCCCAACGATCACCTCCAAACATTCCACTACCACAAAGGCCTTCACCCATTGCAATATTTGTGATATTTGCACCAAAAGGTGGTAATCCATGAGAGGGTAAGAGAGCGCCTGGTGTACGGAAAACGTTGGTGGTCTTCTTGCGCTTCTTCCATTTTGCGCGTCGATTTTGGAACCAAACCTAGAAAGAAAAAATTATAAAAACGTTATTTATATAATCATAGAATAGAAAGTAGTTAAAAATTTCCGGCTAACACTTATTAATACATGATACTTGAGAAGTAATGGTCTTGAGGAGGAACTGAAATAATCCGTAGTTTTTCGAAGACTTTTGCTGGATCTTTAGAATATATGTATGTTTGTCGGCTGCAATAGACACATGTTTCTTGATAAAAAAGTGGTTCATGTTTATCTAGTGATGGAAAACTGACTAGACTGAATTTTGTACTCCAACTCAGAGTTTCTTAACGGTTGGTCAGTGCTATTCGCAACATTCTTCTGTGAAATATTGTAGTTCTGTCTTTAACTATAATATGTAAATTCTTCAAAGAGGGCAAAATATTGCCTTAAGAAAACTGGTTAACGCCCCATGGTACGTACGAGGACCGGATATTCACAAAGATCTGAGAGTCGATTCAGTCGAAAAATACATTAAAGATGCTCTGAAACTGTTCAATATAATTGACAGTCACAATAATCCAACTCTCAGCATCCTAAAAATACAGCGAAATTTGATAAACACAGGCAGATACAAAAACATCAGATCCATCATATTATAAAGCCCCGTACTCAGTTATTCTTAGTGTGACTTAAAACTGACCACAGATAAAATAGAGTAAAGGTGCTGATTCACCAACTCAGACATCTGAATATCAATAATGTAGTAGGGAAATAATGATACCGGTTCTGGTAAAATAGTTGAAACATTTATTCGGTCGAAATATGTGAGAACACTGTTTTATTTGGGAACGCCAATATACATTTTTTTACTGCATATAGAACTATTAATTAATAATTTTTAAATTTTTTTTAAAATTAAAAATTAAAAATTAATATATTAATATTAAAATTATTAAAATATAATTTATATACTACTATTTTTGCTTTAAACATAATAATTATTAAGAGTTATTAATTAGAGCAGGACTGTCCAGACCAGATATGATCGTGGACCTATACAAATCACTAAATATGTTGGGGGGTCGCAGAAACTCTTACAGACGTTCATAATTTTGCCGGAGAAAAATAAAAATACGATAATAATGTTAAATATAGTTTCATTAATTCTTCAATAAATTATCTTTTATAATTCTATTAACATTATTAGTGTATTTGAATTTATTTATTTGGGATACCATATAAATAAAATTATGCGACATTACTAAAATCTAACAAAGAAACATTTTTCTTTTTTTTCTTAATTGTGGTAGATTAGAAACATGAAGCGAGACGCATTAACATTAGCCGCAGGTCGCATGAGGCCCGGGGGCCGGTCTTTGGACCGCTCTGAAGAAGAGAATTAACTTATACTAATCTTTAAAAATATTAAATTTAGTTTGTAATAATTTCACAAATTCATCTCATATTTAATTAAAACTTTAAAATTGCCTTAAATCGATTTTAAGTTATATTTTCAAGAATTACAAGTTTATTTATTTAAATAATAATCAATTTTAATTAATTTTTTTAATTGAAAACAACTTATAATATTTTCTAAATCTATTTCATTTTAATTAAAATTATGTCATTATGCAGACGAAGTACAATAAAAAACTATATATAATAGACATCAATATAACATTATCCTAACCAAATGAACTTAATTACTCAAATTTAATAACAAATTAAATTTATTTTGTTTTCCTTTCATTTATTGGTCATTATGAAAGTTCAAAGATATTAATCTTTATCATTATTACCTCAAGTATAAATTCCGTTGTGCAACATTGCAATGCAGAATGCAAATTCGAACTCAAACCCCACAAATCCATGCGAACTCTGAGTTGCCAATGAGTTGGAAATGTACTTGAAGTCTACACAATGTAGTACAAGTTTCGATAACACAAAGCTAATCAAGATCAATTACCGGAACAACAAGAACATGTACTCCAGCGAAACATCTTCGTACATGGATTTATGCATTGTATGTGGAACTATGCGCCGGACACTCACACTCACACTCACACTGACACTCGTACGCTGTACCAGAACATAACAAGTGGCTACAGCAATGTCCACTCATACAACATCCATACCCGCTCCTATCAAAATCCTTTGCTAGTGTATTGTCTTATCATTTTCAATATGTAGCGGAAAGGGTTTAAATCATTTGAAAGGAAGTTTCTATATGAAAACAATATGTAGGTAGGTAGGTTGATGTGCGTGTGTATGTTGGTATTCAGTCGTTGCCATCTGAAGGAATTTTGACGTTTACATAACACAAGTTAGAATTTTAATAAGAAGTTGAAAGAGGATACGAATGATGATTGATAAAGCCATCGGTCGACAAGGATTGATGAAATATGAATATGAATGGAAATGTGTGTCCAATATTACATTTAGAATTTATGCAAAAAAAATTTAATCAACTATTGGAATTTTAATTAAATGGTTGATAGTGCTTATTAGAAGTATTACCAGAAAAATAAAATTCCCGTAATCTTCGCTAACAAAATTTTGCAATGTGTATTTATTGCTTTAAGTTAAATGTGATAATTATTACAATAATATTGTTTGTATGAACTATTTATATTTAAATTTTATATATAAAATTTTATATATAAATTTTAAGCACAAACCCTGTGTAAACTCTACAAGGATCTGATGTTAAAACACACTTTAAAAAATCTTCAAAAATGTGTCTCTATCATAAATATAAAGCTTCAACTGCTTACTGCAAAATATATATAGTGGTACAACCCTATGTTTTTGAGCAGGTTCCTTTTTACTCATACGAAATACGTGCCCCGCCTATAGTATAGTTTACAGTAGTAGCTTACAGGTATAATTAGCTAATATATAGAAGTTTATTATAAATTTTAAGATAGTATTACATAACTTGGAACTTGATAATGAACTTTCGAAATTTGAAGAATCTTGATAAACCAGGTTAGGCCGCTTGAGAATATCGTAATCTACATCAGCTAAATATAACTGATATGTATATCATATAATCACATTCTTTAAGTCGCCTGCTCGATGTGACTGTAATGTTTTTATACAACACATTTGAATTCTGCAATATTGTCATTTCTTTCTAGGTATACTAGAATCGATGACGATACTACGATTTGTATAAATTAAATCGGTTTATCAACTCTGCTGTCATAGCCATACTTTAAGCCTATAAATAGTTATCTTAGTGGATTTTTAAAGTCTTTACATAAGTGTAAAGATTCTATGTCACTGACATGCTTTAGATAAATTCACAAAATAATGATAATGATATTTTTTACGTTATTATTGATAAATGTAAAGCGATCTGCTTTTGCTGATTAGAGAGTGCTCATAATATGTTACTATTGTATCTTTTTAATTAATATGCAGTGTAATATCTTCTTTCTTATATAAGCGGTATACCTATGATGTCTTGACGTTAGTATTCTGTCAATTTTTTATGACTCTATACATACCAATCAAGTTCCTGGATTGCTTGGTGTAATAAATTTATAACTTTGTAGTGCATATATTCTAGACATCTACCTGAAAGTAAAGGCCTAGTAATACATTGATTAAGGTAGTTAACGAGCATTTATAAGAAATAGACATCACCTTCCAGTTGGTGATAGCAAAATTATGTCAAAAAATACACAAACTTTAAGTAAGTGAGACGGTATGACGAATTCACAACACTAGCCGTAAAATTATTGCGATATATATTCAAGAATGGAGAAAGAAAAGAAGAAGCTATAAGGAATTCACACTATCAATTGTAGAACAAAAGCAAAAAATATTCAATAAATGGGAACCTATTACATATCAGGTATTGACCCCACAAGAACTGTTCTCCCATAAAAGACGAAGAATATTCACAATAATTTTGTTTATGTCATCAATAAATTTAATCTCATCCGTATATTCTCACTATTTCAATAAAGTTAAGACCATCTGTATTTTTGATAGTAATATTATAAATAAGGACAGAAAATATTTATAAATAATTAAATTTATTTTACAAATATTCAAGAAAAAAAGCAGCAAAAAAAGTTCATTAAATTCAAATTAAAATATGTCATCACCATAACAACAATTATTTCATCCTTTACAAACCTTATATATTATATTCGTCTTTTAAAATTAAACTCAAAAAATAATAATTAAATTTGCATTAAATGATATTTCAAAAAATTATTCTTTTTATTTGTTTTTTATTTTTAAACGCAATAATAACTTATAGATTCTGCTTTTTATGTTAAGAAAAAAAAAACGAAAAACTCAAAAATAACTATTATTTTTTGAAAGTAAAAATAAAGCATTTTATTTGCAATTTATTTTTGAAAACCAATTATAAGTTGCAAGCCAAGCGTTTTATTTTTAAGCAGTCTTAAATTTGTTTGTTTGTGTTGTTGTGTATCTAGTCGAGCTAGATATAGTAACATAAATATTAATTTATATTACACACTAAGTGTGTTTGGTGATTGTTATGAAGTCACAAACGAAATGTGTAAACTGGTTAATAGAGTTAAAGATTTTATATTTTTTATTTAGTAAGTATAATATTTATTTTTTAAAAAAATAATATAAAGCAAATTTAATTATTATTTTTTGAACTTTATTTTAAAAGACAAATTATAAGATTAATTAGTTAATTTTTTTTAAAGCATATCATTAAAAAAATAACCAATATTTTTTATTTATATATTTTTAATATATATTTTTTATTTTTATATTTTGTCAACTGGCTAATTGATGAATTGATTAAATAATATATAACTTTTTAAGTAATTTTTAAAAACTATATTTTTTATTCACCAATATTTCGAATATAGTCTATAGTCATTTTTTTTTAAATTTATAATTTTTAGGGTCTCTGGTTGTAAAGCTGATTATTATTCTCTTGCCATACAAAATGCTAAATATAAACCGAAGTGATTATTGAGCTCTGTAGCTGTTAAGCAATTTTTGTTGTCTTTGTTTTAACCTATTTCTTTTTCTTATATATCATATATAACTTTTTTGTGT